GGAGGGGGGCGGGGGGTCAAAATGGTGGGGGCCTCTGCCCCGACTCCCCCCACCCCGACACCCGTCTCTTCTTGCGAAGAGCCCAAAAAGCGGCTGCTGAGCAGGCCCAACAAGTCTTCGAGTACTGACGTCGGACGTTTCTTTTGCATCCGCAGAAAAACATCGAGGCTTCGCTTTCATTGAATTTGAGCTGGCCGAGGTAAGCCAGGAAGGGCGTGTTCAGACCCTTCAAAGGGTGCTCATCCTCCCACCCCCGCTCGGGGTCAGGGAAGGGACCGTGAGCTCCCTGAGCGCTTGGAGGGACGGCACGAAATCCAGCTGGACAGGAAATGGCATGGGTCAATCATCAAAGTACGGGCCCATCTGAAGGCCATCTTTGCCCAGTCGGCCGGCGGGGTCTGGTTTGAAAGAAGGTACTTCCAAGCTGGCAAATGGGAGACAGATGATGTTTCCAGCCGCTTCCATCTTTTGGAGTCTTCAAACTTTAGCACAGGTTTCTTTCTACCAAAGAATCAAGCAGTGCAGCGGTGAGAACCAGAAGCTTGCTTAGTAAAAAGGTTTCTGTAGACCTAGCGAGGGTTTGAGGGCCATGGGCGTGCTTCTTCCAACTCACTCACCTCATGGTCAGATTATTTCTCTCAGTACAGTACTTGTTATTATGACCACGCCAAAGGAGGAAGAACTATTTAAGGAGATGTTCTGTCTTAAATGATTCCTCTTCTTTCTTTTAGGATGCTGCAGCCGCTATTGACAATATGGTAGGTTTATCTTTAAATCCTTATTTCATTTTGCAGCAAGTTTAAACATTGTCTTCCCTTCTGCCCAAATGTTTAAGATCATCTGAGGAGGCCAAGCCTTTTTCGGGTTTCTCTTGTGAGAAACAGCCTGTCTGTCTTCTTCAGCTTCTGAAGGCAAGCAACCCTTTTGATCATGTCTCCCTTTCAGGAGGCCATGGAAGACGTGAGGCTGGCACCTTCTTGCTTTCTGTTTCCTGAGAAGCTATTGCTTCAGCCTGTTGGGCTTTTCAAATCCAGTCTTAAAACCAGGCAGGCAGGAGCCTCTTGACCCCCAAAGGGAGTCCAGGGGAGTTGTTCTGTGGGGTCTTGCAAAAGGGGAGTTGAAGCGGTGGGCAGACTTGCAAATGATATGAACCTAGGTGGGATTGCTAGTGCTCTGGAACAGGATTCAAGGTGATTGTTGCAGGAGACAGAAACGCAGCACTGATACTGAGATGAATTCCTTGCAAGAGAGTAGAAAGTAACAACATCCCGTCTCCTCCTCTTCATTTAGAATGAGTCTGAGCTCTTTGGGAGGACTATCCGGGTCAACCTGGCCAAGCCGATGAGGATCAAAGAAGGTTCCTCTCGTCCAGGTGAGCAGCAGAGTTTGAGATCAGGAGGAATCTCCAGCCCACAAACTTGTGGTTGTTCTGAGGGAAAGCCTTCAGATCTCCTTGTTTTGTAATTTAACTTGGTGGTCAATTAATAAGCCTCCCTGAACTTTTTCTGCTTTTCCGTGACAGTCTGGTCAGACGATGACTGGCTGAAGAAATTTTCAGGAAAGACACTTGAGGAAAATTTGGAAGAGGGAGCAGTGGCAGCCCGGTCAGAGGTTCAAGAGGTACAGAGGCATCTCTTGGCAAGAGGACATGTCGCCCTTGGTGGCTTCCATCTGCCAGGATGCTCATCTTATCTGAAGACCTTTTGGGGGCTATGATAGGTTTGCATAAATGTGGGCTTTTCTTCTGTGAGCTGGGCCTAAGTATAGTCTGCAAAACTTCCATGGTTGTACATAAATACATGGTTGCATTATTTATTGTTATCCCGCATTTTTCTCCAGATGCTAAATGGCATATATAGCATGCTCCCATCAGATTTTATTCCCAGTAACTTTGGTGTGAGGGGGGAACCAAGGGAGTGACTTGTCCAGAGTCATCCATTGAGGTTCCATAACTGGATCTAAACCTAGATCTCCCCAGCCTGTCATTCGGCTGTGTAATCACTGCATCACAGTGGTTCTCATCTCATCCCCTTCTCAGATGCCTTCTTTAAAGCAGATTAAAAAGGAGAACAGCTCATGTATAGCCATCTTCTAGATCCATGGAAGAAGTTCTCTTTCTCTTCTGTTAGGGGGAACCACCACTGAAAAAATCCAGGACCAACCCCCAGGTTTACATGGACATCAAGATTGGAAATAAACCCGCTGGCCGATTGCACATTCTCTTGCGGTCAGATATTGTCCCTATGACCACTGGTAAGAAGCAAAGGAATCCATTGTGCTTGGTGGGAACCTTCCTGGTCCATGGCTTTTTCAAATTGCTCTTGTGTTACTGGAACTTGCAGTGTTAAGTCTCTGTCCAGAATTGGGAGGTCTGTCTCTCCTGTTAAGAGACAGGAAGAAATCAGGGAAGCATCCAGACCTCTTTTCTCCAGTGACAGCCTTTCTCACCCTGGACCTCTCCAGATGTTGGGACTTCAGCTTCAGGATGACCAACATGCCTGAGGTCCTGTTGGCTTGGGAGTTGCAGTCCAAATACATCTGGAGGATGCCAGGTTGGGGAAGACTGTTCCTTGTGGTGCCCTCCTGATGTGTTGATCATAGTGGTAGGGTGTTATAGAAGCTATATTCTCAACACCTCTGGAGAGCATAAAGAGGGGACAGCAAATCAAGAAATAAGGTTGGATCATCAGATGCATGCCAGTTCCTCTGATTCTGTGCCACAAGTGTGCCCACTTCGAAACAAGAGGCACAAGTTTTTGCATTAAGGGTTTTGTTCAGGCTACTGTAGCTGTTTTTGCAGGCAGATTTTATTGATTGGAATTGTCATGGAATTGGAAAGGAGATGGGATTGCAGGGGATCAATTTTTCTTCCCTTCTCCTATAGGCTTTTTCAAACAGTCATCCCAGAGGTTGGTTTGCTAGCCCTTTCCAATCATCGAGGAAGTATTTTGTAGAATTTGCTTTGTTGGCTAAGAAACTTTGAATCCAGCAAATAAAGATAGGAAAAATCTTGAGCTTTTCATCACAAAATTTCCTAAGCATTAAATTTTGTGAAAAACTCAAGATCGTTCCTATTTTAAGAGTTCTGGCTTGTCCCAGCCTTGTAGCAATATTTTGTTTGCACTTTGGTAAAGATTGAAGGATGTGGTTTTCCTTGTTTTTTTTTTAACTTACAGGATTTGTGCAGAAGTGATTGTTAAGCATATTTCTCTCCATTTCTGTACATACTGGATGCTTTTTTTTTTTAATAATTCTGAGTTGCAATGGTTTTTGGCTTTAAATTTGATAAAGATCAAAATTAAAAAAAGATAAGATCCATTCAACCAAGTGACAAGGCTAGGTAGAGATGTGATGCTCCAAACTCTGGGATCCCATGCAGCAGTTGAAACAATTGGAATTCAAGAGAGCAGCAGTAATAACCGAGAATGGTCCAAGCCAAACGTGGTTTTAAGTGGTTAACAGTGGACAAGGAAGGACCAGGCATGTGCTCAAAATAGAGTTCCACAAGCTGAGGACTGCTGCCAAAACCAATTTTTTTAAGTGTGATGATGTTCTACACAAGTACTGCCTGTTTCCGCCCTTCTCCTTTGCCATTCTGCTTCTTCATTCCCATCTCATCCTCTGACTTGCAGAGAACTTCCGCTGCCTCTGCACGCATGAGAAAGGCTTTGGCTTTAAGGGAAGCAGCTTTCACCGAATTATCCCCCAGTTCATGTGCCAGGCTGGAGATTTCACCAACCACAATGGTACCGGCGGGAAATCTATCTACGGGAAGAAGTTTGATGATGAAAACTTTATCCTGAAGCACACAGGTCCAGGTAGAGTGTGGCGCGGGTGCTGAGGAAAGTGGGGGACGAGGTGGTTTGGAGCCCCAGTCCAAATGATGGTGGCGCCATGTCTGCGCTTGGCAAGCCTGGTGTCAGCACCCAAACGTGCCTTGACCTTGTGTGAAGGCCACTGAGTCTTCTCACCCTGCTTGGGCAGGTCACTTCCGTTCATCCTTTACTTCCTGGGTGGCCCAGCACTCCTGCCTCTGAAGAGAGTTGGTTCTACAAAAGAGAATCCAAATTCATCTGCAGGGTTAACACACAGCTGACAGATTGCATGTTTGCACATATGTTATTTTGAGCATTTGAACCATTCCGTTCCATTTCTCCAAGCCACGCTGGATGGAAGGAAATGGTTGACTGTGTAGGTGCTTCTGGAGCAAGAATTGCAATGCTGGGGGCTTTTGCCCCCCTCAGTCTTTTGTCAGGGCACCAAGCAGGTTCTTTTGTGCAGTTGTATTCTTTCTTGAGCCTTTTCCCTTCTTACAAGAGCCTATAACAGAGGTAGGAACCAGTAGCCCCCCAGCATTTGCTGAACTAGGATTCCAGATGTTGCTTACATAGACTGGGAATCATCCCCAACCCTGGATTACTCCAGAGGTTTTCCATGTAAGAGGTTGGGGACACAAAGTCCATGTGTCTCTCCAGGTTTGCTGTCCATGGCCAATTCTGGTCCCAACACCAACGGCTCTCAATTTTTTATCACTTGCGACAAGACCGACTGGCTGGATGGAAAGCATGTGGTCTTCGGAGAGGTTACCGAAGGAATAGACGTGGTGCGGCAAATTGAGGTAAGAGAAGAGCCTTTGTGGGTGAGTGGCCTGATTTTGCTTCTCTCCCTTCCACATCCTGTTTCTCTCTTCCTCTTCCTCTGAAGGCTCAAGGCAGCAAAGATGGAAAACCAAAGCAAAAAGTGATTGTCTCTGACTGTGGTGAATTCATCTGAAGCAGACGCTGGTTGGGAATGCTGGACAAGGGGAAGGCTGAACACAGAATTGCTTTGGTCTGGATGAAAACTCTGGGATCGCTTTTCTAAAAATTCAGTCCAAGTCTGTATAATGTGCGTATGTGTGTACAGAACTGTAAAACTGTTAGAAATCTCTTTTGTACAGAATTTTTCCTTTTATAAAATTACATGTATTTTTTTCACACACCTGCCTTTTAATTTCCCCTAATTACCTTTAAAATTGTTTACTTTGAATTAGATACTCATTTAGCAGTGTTGGTCTAATGCAGTCATTCTCAGCCTGAGTTTTCCATGTCCTTCCACGCTGGAAATTATAGAAGCTGAAGTCCGACACATCTGTGGTGGGTTTTCACAGTGCACGTGTGATGGATGGGTTTGTGTGTGGCAAGAAACCAAACTGCTGCCTGTGCAAGGCTCAGGCCTGCTGCACCTCTCTGGCAGGAAAGATCAGCGTTCACTTTTGCTTTAAGTGAAAGGAACAAACTGCATCTGAGCTTAATGATGCCGTTTGTTTTTTCCATCAGCGGTAACCACAGCCCCTGGCTGGCATAGCGAGAAAGTGATCCGTGGACACTGGAAGCAAAAAAATGCCTAATTGCTCATAGCTGAGTGAGGAGGAGGAAGATGGCCCTTGGGTTTGAAGGTTAGGCATATAAGTTTGTTTATTTCTTCATTTTACTTGTATACTGCTGAGTCTGCCAGGAAAATAATCCAGAACAATTAAAATATCCATGATAAGACGATTCCAATTAGCTGAGAATAAAATTTACTGTACTGAAATAAAATCCATGCTGCTGATGATTGTAATGTTACAACAAAGTTGACAGCAGCTTCCTCACTAGCCCAGTTAAGGCTCAGAAGTGTGGAAGGAAAAGAGGGCCCAGTCCTTCTGCGAGCCCCATTTGAGGGGATCTCTCGGCTCGTTCCAGCTTCTCTCCCAGGTGACCCCCTCTGCCTGGACCCTACAAACACAGTGGCTGCAGGCAGCAGAGGGAATGCTGGAAAGACTCCTGCTATGCACCCCCACCCACCCTCAGCTGGGCCACATTTTGCCAGGGGGGAGAAGGAAGGCTCATTCCATGCAAGGAAACCAGGAGCTGAGAGGGAAACATGCAGGGAACTTGAAGCACCTCGACAGCTGGGGCCTAGGGCCGGGCTCTAGAAGTGGAGCAGACCCCAGCCTTCTCCCCAATATCCAAAGCTGGGCATATAAGCAGCTCCCCCACACCCTCAAAAGCAGGCTTTGGGAGCATCTGTAGCGATGGCAGGATGAAGGGATGCTTGGTGCCAGGGGGTCCCTGGTGCTTCTCCGCTTTGGAGCTGCTGCCAGTTCCAGGGGCTGGCAAGAGAAGTTCCCGAAAGCCATGTGGGGCAAGGGGCTTGATTAGCCCCTGCAGCTAGTCAGTTTTGTAGCGTTTCTGCCTAGGTTTCTTTCTGGGAGCACTAGGTGGACAGAGCAGGGACACTGATGGGGTTCGGGAGCTCCCAAGATGGGGATGTGGCTGACTGGTTGGGGCACCCACCAAAATAGTTACAATGTGCAATTGAGCCCCATCCCCTTTTACACGTGTTGCAGACATGACGCAATAAAAAGAGGCAGAACTTGACTTGCACAGTGATGGCTACCATCTTGACAGACACCCCTGCTGGGCAGAGAGAGTTCAACCCCATGCAAAGCTCGGTCTGAGTACATTCCAGACAGCCACAGGATGGCAGCAAGGAATGCCTCTGCTGCCACCTTGGGCTCATCCAGATTTTTGCAGCCCTAGTTTAGGGCTAAATGCGCCACCCTTGAAAGCGGTTAACTGGGTTGTCGAAGTGGAGTTCCCTTAACACCTTCACCTCTTCTTGACCCAGTGAAGTGAGTTGTCAAGACAGGACCTTTGTGTTTCGTCTCTAAAGCTAGTATTTCTGAAATGGGGCTCTGCTTGCAACAGACATTAGTGTCACAAGTGCACTAAGGGTTAAGTTATAAAGGCTCTTTGCTTACATCCTGCCACACCCAAACCCACCAATCTGCTTACAGCTTTGCATTAAGAGTGAACTAGGGCCATCTTTCAGTTGTGGGATGTAAAGTCCCTGGGTCCTGTTTGGGACCTCTGAGATACAGAACAGACTCCCCGGAGAAACGGCCAAGATGGTTTCGTTCCCGTTTCCTGGTGCTGATGAGGTCCTGCAAGGTTGGAGTTGGCATAGGCAGAACCGCTGCTGTCGTCATTTTGGAAAGCAGTCTTGGCAGAAGTGCACAATAATAGCATCCTCTGGAGAAGCTGGCTGGCAAAACCTCCCAGACAAATGAGTGGAAGGATTTTTTTCTCCACAGAATATGTAATTGTGGGGTTTTTGCCTAGGAGGTTACAGCCTCCACCATAAATGCCTTAAAAAACCCCACACAGCCTCCTTCCTTTACTCATCTGTTGCTAATAGTAGCTTCAAAGGAACTGCCCCTGAGGGCCCCCACTGGGGTGAGGACTGGCTGCTGGGCGCACAGGTGTCGGAAGGGCTCCAGAGGACCCGCCATGGGAGGTGAAATGGTGAGTTTAGGTCCTCTTCAGCCTGATCCTGCAGAGCTCTGCTATTAGGTACACATCTGGAGAGACGTGGTATTCAACAGGGCTGATCTAGCAACACTGGCAGTATTGGAGATCAATATCACTGAAGAATCACAGGACTGGTGAATTGGAGGCAGGACCTTCTCCCCTCAACACAGCAAGCCAGCCCAACGTGCCCCCCTATAAAATCCAGACCATGATGGGCCTATTAGCAAAGGCAATCAAGCTGGGATTTATTTATATTAATGTAAGATAAGGCCTCAAGAAGCAAGCGTTCCACGTGACAGGAAGGAATCCTCTCTTGTGATTCTGGAGCAGAATTCTTAAGTTGTGTGGAGAATTGCACCCCCTGCCCCACCCACTGTCTTCCCAAAGTTTTGCACAAGTCTGCTCTCAGTAGCCGAGGGAGTTTCCGAGTGACACGCATAAAGCAAAAGTCCCTGAACCCTGCCTTCTCAGAGGGGCCCAGTGAAACGCTGCTTGGAAGAAGGACGGGCGTTGGGGTTGCAAGCGGGTCTCGTGACGCGTATATAAAATCTATTTCCACTTTAGGTTTGAGAGGAAAGGGCCCACTTTCGAAAATAATATAACTTGGGTCTTCATATTAAATATGTTGGTGCCAAAAAATAGCTTTCCTCAAACTAAGCCATGGCTTCTAAAATACTAAGCCATCAACCCCAGTTTTATGATCCAAAATAACTGGGTCTACACAACGTACTAAGGCAATCTTTTATTGTCAAGATCTTGTGGCCTTCAGTCGCTATCAGCCCATCTAAAATTGTGGGAATTGTAGTCAAAAACGATAGGCACCATATTGCATACCTCGCACTAAGTCAATGTCCGATGAACCATAGGTCTCAGAGTGTTGTATGAAGCAGATTTGTCTTTTGGAGAACCAAAATATGATTGGAAGCTGCTGTGAAGAGTGTTTGCAGTCATCCCATCCTGATGATTGTTGGAGCTCCAGTTCCTTTGGGGTTTGGACTGAATTTATATCGTGACCTGCATCCAATCTGGTACTGATAGTAGGCCATCATATGGGTAGCAAGTGTTCAGATATCTGAATCATTAGCAGACTCAGAGATTGAACTCGAGAGGACTTCTTGGAGGTTTCATGCAGATCAACCTGTCCCAGCCTAGCATCCTTCAGATGAGCTGGGCTGCGACTTCCATAATTCCCAACAGAAATGCAATCCAACACATCTGGAAGGACCCAGCTAGAAAAAGGGGAAGCAGCCCAGTGACAGAAGCACAACATTCTGGAGATCTTTCCTAATCTGCATTTTGGATATAGAAGCAAAATGTTGTGCTGCCACAATGGAAACAAATGGCTAAACTTGAGCAATTGAGATTTGAGAGACTTGCTTATTCAACTGCTCTCTCTTGCGCTTGAAGGACTATATTTCTTGAAGGACTAAGTAGGCAAAAACAGGTCAATTGCTTAGGCTTCAGTGCCCCCCCCCCACCGAGAACTGAGTGGGTCGAGCTAGTTTAACATCTACCAGTGTGTCTGTTCTGAGTTAAATGTAATTCCCTGACATTTGATTGATTGCATCAATTAACTTCTTTAGATTGCTCCTGCAACACATCAGTGCCACCCCCATATGACCCAAGCTAATGGGGTGGTGAGAAAAGGGCCCCTGGAATTAGGCAGAGGATGTCTGCAGTTCTTTATGGCTATTCTCCTGCTCTATTTTGGCTGGGCTGGTTGTACATAACGCTATGCTGTAACGTAGTTTATTTGCTTTTGGCAAAGCATACAAAGCCAGTCATCACTGCTTAGCATTATATGTAAATCAGGCCACTAGGGTTTGTTAACAAACCAGGATTTAAAAAAAAATAAACTTGGCATTATGGATTATGTATAAATGCAGTTAGTAGCTCTAGCATCACTGAAGCAATGAGCATGAAACTGAGCAAACTCAGGGAGGCAGTGAAGGACAGGAAGGCCTGGCGCAATATGGTTCATGGGGTCACAAAGAGTCGGACATGACTTAACGACTAAACAACAACAAGACTGTCATATTAGTTTTTAAAAAAATGATCTTAGTTCTATTGTCTTAAAACATGTAGTGAGGAGTACCTCACCCACCCCCGCAAAATATTTGGAGTTTTTATGGCCAGCATAATACAAACTCACATTATTTTGATCCCTGTTCTAGATGTAAGGTTTACCCCGTCCGTCTCAGAGAAACTCTCGTGACACGTGGGTTCAGCAAAGCAGTTTATTCAAGCGTAACGTAGGTAAGTACAGACAAAGCCAGGGTTGGCTTGGCACATCTTACAATGTATTTTATACCTTCCCCGTTCCCTCGTTTTGCCCTGTTGCTCAGTTACAGTTTACCCGCAGTAAACCCCCCTCACCCAAATGGCAGATTCAGTCCGGTGCTTTTGTCTTTCTGATTGCTGTCTATGGGTTGTGCTGTTGTTGCCTTTGTTGGGTTTGCCTGTTGCGCACAAAGCCGGGAGTTCCCGATCGTCCGTTGACGGCTTCCCTCCGGAGCCTCTGCGCTCCCCTTTGTCTGCAGCGCCCGAGGGAAGCCGGCACTGATACAAAGTATCCGCTTGCAGTTTT